TGGGAATTAAAGAGGGGGGAAAAAAAGTGACGCAATGAAGGCAGATCAGCGGTAGATTCCTGAAGGAGATGTTCCCTATAACCTTTAAGGTCTGCATTTTATAGGGCCGCCACACAAAATGTCCCTAAGCAGGGACTTTCAGGTCCCAACATTGTAGTGTGAGTGCGCCAGTGCACTGTTTCCTGATATTAGCAAACACAGAAATTGCCCCCAGAGAAGTTAATGCATTCCTGACAAAGCTGGCCTTATATATAGCCTCTGGGCCTGAAGGCCAAGTGAGCTCTAGAAGGAAAATTAGTCACCTTTTGCTGAAATGCCTGGCCCTGGGTCACCTGAACTTTCCTCACCCTCCACCAGAGGTCACCCTTGGTGAGACTTGGGTCTGTGCACTGTGCCTGCTGAGCCTTGGCCTGCATCCCGGGTTTGCAGCTGTGATTTATTTTTGGCACTTCAGTTTTCCGTCATCAAGTTAGCAAAGCCTGAAGGAAGAGCAGCAGCAAGATACCCTGCTCCGGCTACGGGTGTCTGCTCTGGACACGCTTCAGTCCTCTGTTTTTCCCCCTTCCCCAAGGGGCTCTGGGACCTTTGGGATTCCTGTCGAATTCACTCAAGGGCCTGTGAGGACCTAACGGTGAGTAACTGGGCCAGTGATGGATGAAAGCCAGGCAGTAGGCAGGGAGAGGGGAGAGGCTATGCGGTAAAGAAGACGGAAACCACCAAATCTATTAGACTTACTTTTCCCTTCTGAAGGCAAATAGACCAGAAGAGTGGCAGTGTTGACTCTTGAAACCCCTGCCACAAGAGCTTATCTACAGAAAGCGGGTCCCTGAGACTGTGTTTTTAGACTCTGAGTTTAAGGGAGGGATGTTATATTCCAGAAAAGACTAGGCTACTTATTCCCATTTGGTGACCCTTTTTAAAGGGGTCTTGGGAAGGATGTAGTGGGTACAGGTGGAGCAGTGGACAGTGGCACAAAGTCAGCCCCAAGTTAGGCCTAGAGCAAAGGGATGGGGCAATAGAAACCTACCCCGCCTACACTGAAAGATTTGAATGCAGCCAGAACTAGGTGAAAGTGGTCATGCCAGGGAATGAAGTCCCTAGCTGGAGTGGCATCCTGGAGTAGGTCTGCCCATGGCGGGCTGGGAGAAGGGAAAAACCTGGTACTACCCAACTTTGGGAAGTGAGAGCACAGATGCCCATCTTGAGAACTTAAAAGGACATGCTGGGAAATTAGCTTGTTTTTATGGGGAACAGACACTCCTATGTTCAGTTGAGGTTGCTGACAGGGCAGACGCAGCCTGTGAGCAGACCAGGTACCTGCTGCTGGTAGAGGATATGGTTGGTCGAATCCTTTCTCTGGTAACCATGCACCCAGCAGTGGGGACACCAGGCTTTCTGAAACAGTCAGCCTGAGACCTGAGGTAACCAGGGCTGCACCTTGGCTGGTCATCAAATTGGCCGCTTGGGTAGGACAGGCCTTCTTGGACCCAGAAAGGGCAGTAGAATCAGGGCTAGAGGCAGTTTTGGCCCTCTTGAGTGGCAGCTTGTGCCTGTTTTCTACCTGTTCTTTCTGTCAGTAGATGATTTTCTTCATTTCTCAAATCTTTCATTTGCGGTGGGAATTCAGTACCCCGGTAGCCTCTACATAGATGAAACAAACCTGGCCAGCTTAGCAACTCTGTGTCCAGGCCTGAGAGTTCCAGCTTTGTATTGCCCCCCACTGCAGTAGGACCACTCAGGGCTCACTGGCCATTGTTAGGTAGGACATGGTGCATGCATTCTGCCAGCAGAACCCTGAACCAAAGGTATACCTCCAACTGCCAACTCATACCTAGGGAGAAGCACCTGCATACCTGCACTGGGCACAGAGGGCAGGGATGGCTGGGACATCCTAGAGAAGACCACAGTTTAATGTGGGAGATGATAGCACACACTGACAACTGATACCAGAGGCTGGGACCAGGACTCAACCATCAAGCTCTGCATCCCTCAGAGCACCTGGCATAATGCTTCACAAAGAGTATAAAAGAATGAATGAATGAGAGAGTGATTATGGAAGTCCTGGTCAAGGACAGAATGAGTGAGGAAGGAGCAGTGGGCAGCAGAGGAAGCATGTCCTGGACGAAAGGGTGTTTTCAGACTCAGACAGTTAGGACTGGGGTAGATAAGGAAAGGCTATTAGAGCAGCATATTAAGAAAATGACATTGTGAAGCTTCTCATCTTTTCCACAAGTACAGAGAGCAGGCAGAGGAAAAATAGGACCAGCCTCATCTCCTCAGAGAGAAAAAGAAATAGCACTTTAATTTGTCTTCTGAAGCATTCCTCAGTAGTTCTTTCTAAAACCAAGGGTGTGCTGTCCCCCTCAGAGCTAACCTTGGGGCTTTCCTGCTTCAGTCCTGGGCCTCGGACTAGCTGATTATTTGCAGCTTCTACTGACGGTACATGAATAGGGAAGCACATGGTCACCTGGGGCTGACAAGTTTACAGCTAGTGGGAAAAGGATGTTGGGTTCTTTACAAAGCATTTTTTCAGTTCACAAACATTTATTCTGAACATTTGCAATAGGCCAGCTCTGTGCCAGGAGAGACAAAGATAAGTGAGAGAAATTGTTCCAACCCTCAAAGAACACATCCCCTAGGTCAGGCAGGAAGGCTGATAGCTTCTTTCTGTTTTCCTCTCAGCGCCCCTCAGAATCATCCCCGAGGAGCTGAGCATGACGTGGGATGAAGCACTACCAGACTCACATTCTGCACAGGGTTTCTATGAGAACTATGAGCCTAAGGAGATCCTGGGCAGGTAAGGCCCAGACTTTCCACAGGCTGGAGCCTTCTCTGTTTGACCTTGAGCAGTGACCTCATTTCGATCCCCAAAGCACTGTTCATTTTGAGAATCCCTCGGTTTGGGTCCTGTTCTCCTAAACCAGGACAGATAAGGGTGTATAAGAATAAGCAGATCAGAGACTTCTCCTGGCAAAGAGTTCCCCCGATGCTGCTGACAAGCACATCCAAACTCAGCTTTGGGATCGGGTTAAGGATGAGGGGTCAGAGGAAGCTTATGGCCTTGAGAATGCATGGCTTCTTTCTTTGTGTGAAAGAGCACTGAGCTAGAAATTAAGAGGCCTGAGACCAGGCTTGCAAATCACCCTCGCTGTGCCTTCTTCATCCTACTGTCCCCAAAAGTTTACAGGGAGTTGGGGAAAAAGATGTGGGACTTCTCCTGGAGTGAGGGGCCCCTGGGACTGTCTGTCCTCTGTACCCCCAGGGGAGTTAGCAGTGTCGTCAGGCGTTGCATCCACAAACCCACGTGCCAGGAGTACGCAGTGAAGATCATTGACATCACAGGCGGGGGCAGCTTCAGCTCTGAGGAGGTGCGAGAGCTGCGACAGGCCACGCTGAAAGAAGTGGACATCCTGCGCAAGGTTTCAGGGCACCCTAACATCAGTGAGTGATGGCCTCAAGCCACATCAGGGTGCTTCACCATTATTCTGCTCTGATAATCCAAGTCAGGGAGTGCAGCTTCATTGCTGGCCTATCCAGAGTGTCTTCTGCATCCTGAGGCCGCACCAGCCCAGTGCCCTGAGGCTTGAAGTTCCTAGTTCCAGCCTCCAGGAAACCTGCTCCAGGGATTCAGCTCTGTCTAAGCCTCCTCTTTCAGCCAGACAGAAGGGGTGACAGGCAGGGCTGGGGTTAGGTACCGGTGGGAGAATGGGGGTGTGAAGTGTCTGGGCCTTTCCCCTGCCCTGGTGGGCCTCCTTTGAGCACCATCCTGATACCACCTCCACTTTCGAAGTTCAGCCCTAGCAATTTTAATCCCCCTGCCCCTATGCCTTGCTGCCCCTCCCCAGGCTTCCCTGCTACCTGAGACAAGCCAACCATTTCCATTTCAGTACAGCTGAAGGACACTTATGAGACCAACACTTTCTTCTTCTTGGTGTTTGATCTGTAAGTACTCAGCCCTGGAGTCAACCATACCTGGGACTATCAGAGAACCTGGTATTATGGTCCCCTGTCCAGGTCTTCCTGGAGATCAGCAGCCAGCCCCTTATACTGTGGATGCCAAATAGGATCAGAAATGCCCCTGGGGTCAGGCTGCCACATTTTAATTCCTGGGTCCACTGATTATGGGCTGGAGGTTTTCTTTAAGTATCAGTTTTCTCATCAGTATTATGGAAGTAATAATAATACAGTGACTGGCACAATGTAAATGCTAATAACTATTAGCTCCAGTAATGCAGATAGTGGCCATTCAATACTTATTCTAGACATTGAGGTTAGAACAATGAATAAGACAGATAAGGTCCTCAACTTTATGTAATAATTTTCACAAGTAATGAACAGAAAGCAATTTAGCCATGATATGTACATGTAGTTATGTATGTGTACATATACATAAAGCTGAACAGGGATTAGAGAGAGGTGGAGATTCTTTTTTTTTAGATGAATTGGTCAGAGAAGTCTCTCCACAAGGTTACCTGAGTAGAGACCTGGATGATTTGAGAGAGGAATCCAAAACAAGACCTGGAGCTGGAGCTTTCCAGCAGAGGGAAGAACCAGAGCAAGAGCCTTGCTGGATGGGCTTGGGATGTTTAAGGACTGGCAAGGAAACCAGGGTAGGGGAATGATGCAGGCATTTTAGCTATGGTAAGGACTTTGGAGGATGGAGATCAGGAGAGTAATGTGGTCCTATTTGCTTTTGAAAAGGATCCTGCTGACTGTCATAAGGCAAGAGTAAAAAGGTGGAGGCTAGCAGTATTGAGGCAAGAGACTCCCCCAGGGAGGTAGAGGTTGAATTTGGGTGCAGTTCAAAGATGGAGATCATCATCATCATCATCATCATCAACATCATCATCACTATATTCCTGCTTCTGCACCAGTAGGCTATTGAGATGATCTCCTTGTCACAGGCACCCGTAGGCCCTTCAGTTCTGAGAGTCTGTTTTCTCAAGAAAGGAAAAATGATACCGACCACTCTGCCTATCTCACCAGGCTCTAAGCATCAAATTCGAACAATACAAAGTGTTCTGTGAATAGTGCAATCATATTACCATTTTTATTAGAAAAGTTTCACAGGGAAAGGAACTCTCCATCTCCTTGTTCCCCCGCTCCATTGAATCCTCACTAAAGAACAAAAATCTCTGCTGTATGATTCATTGTTGAAGGGGTGTCTTGATTTCTCCATACACAACAGCCAATTTAGGGACCAGATTTACCTGAGAAAATTATTCAAGTAGATTTTGTATTGTTGGAACATTTCATATTGTAGCCATACTGAATATGTGCAGTGTTAATTTATTTAAAGACACAGTATTACTTGGCGTGTTATACAATTAAACCACCAGCTCCAGGAAGGCAGAGGCCTTCTGATGTGCCTTGCACAGTCCCCTAGTGTTTAGTGGTAAATCTTTTGGGGGCTGCTGCTGCTAATAGTGAGTTCTCCTAGTGTCTTTAAAATGGAATTAAAATGATAAAAACTGGATTCACACATTGCCTTTTAGGAACAGTATAAAACAAGGCTCACCTCTGTAAATTCTAGGTTGTCTCCTCAAACAGAAACTCCCTCCTTGCCTCAGCAGCTAAACTCAATTGTTTTATTGCCTCTCGGTGACACTGTCAAAATCCCTTGTGCCCTAAGAATCCCACTGCTTTTCATGGAGGGGTGGGTGAAAAGGGGCAGGATGCACCTTTCCTATTAATTTAACCCAGGAAGACTTTCCCAGGGCCCCACCAGACTTGCCCAGCTGCAGCTGTCCCAACTCTGCTCAGTGGAACTGTCCTGAAGAGCCCTTGGGGGCAGCTCAAATGTCTCTAACCTTTCAAGAAGTTGCTTTGGGAAGCTATTTTTAATGCTGCCCCAAGTTGCCCTCCAGGTTATAACTAGATTGTTCTAGCAGAGACCTCTTTATAGATCATCCCAAGATGTGAGAAGACTGAATCGCAATTCTTAATCCTAAAATAGGCAAAACAGCTCCTCCAACACTTGTACTGCCACTTCTTCCATTTGTTCCTGGGAAAAATCAAGATGCTCTCGTCCTTCTGATTTGGGTCTGGGGCCCTGGGCCAGGGGGCCTTGGGCCAGTCTCACCTCCCAGCCCTGGTTTTGGCCCTGATAAATCCCAGCCCGTGCTGTCATTTACGCAGATGGTGGTGGGGTGGTGGTGGGGGGCGGGGCTCATATCGGTGCCATCCCACCCCTCCAGCCTCCCTTGCTCTTCTTCAATCCTTCCAGACACTCCACTCACTTCCCCAGCTCCTCTCCACAGACCTTGGTTCTTTGTGGGAGTGGCCCACTTTGCCTCTGGAGGTATTAGGGTGAGAAACAATTCTCTGGGAGCAGGGTAAGGAGGGGATGGTCTTGGGACCTATCCAGTTACAAACCCTCTGTCCCCACAGGATGAAGAGAGGGGAGCTCTTTGATTATCTCACTGAGAAGGTCACTCTGAGTGAGAAGGAAACCAGGTGAAGGGCCATTTGCCTCTCTCCCCACTTCCTGCCTGAATCCTAGTGCTACAGGCACCAAGGTCTTGGAGGGGGTATGGAGCATACTTGCTTGGGCTGAGGGTGTGCACCACTGGCTTTTATGGCCTCCTTCCATCCTTGACTCAGCCTAGACTGTCCCAGCCTGCCCTGAGTCCTCTCTTACTTGCAGTCTGGCTAGTATGTGGGCTTTGCTACTTGACCCTGCAGAATAGGAGATAAGAGTAACATGTGCCTGTCTCACCCCAGAAAGATCATGAGAGCCCTGCTGGAGGTGATCTGCACCTTGCACAAACTCAACATCGTGCATCGGGATCTGAAGCCCGAAAACATCCTCTTGGATGATGACATGAACATCAAGCTCACAGACTTTGGCTTTTCCTGCCAGCTGGAGCCAGGAGAGAAGCTGCGAGGTCTGGTAACATGCATTGGCCCACATCAGGGGCTCAGGCTTTCTTATTAACTCTCCCAGGAACAGAAATTGTCTGGTTTTCTCCCCTATTCCTTCCCACTCCAGAATAAAAGTCCTATCATTTCAAGGCTAGGTGTCTTTTCAGGTAGGCTCTCTTCCTAGGACTAAGGCGAGCCAAGTTCCCACTGCCTGAGTTCTAGGCCAGGATGGCTAGACGTGACCACAGAACAAATAAGCCCCAAGTAGGTGGCCCTATGAGCCAGCACCTGGTCCATGCCCTTGGCCCTGAAGTTGGGCAGCCTAAACACCATTTCGGTTACATCTCGACCGTTTCTTTGGATCTTCTTCTTCCAAGTGTCCCCCATTGACCTATCCTGATAACTATTCCTGCAGAGATCTGTGGGACCCCCAGTTACCTGGCCCCAGAGATCATTGAGTGCTCCATGAACGATGACCACCCAGGCTACGGGAAGGAGGTGGACATGTGAGTATGTTGGGGAGGAGGGACAGGGATGCCACCATGGCCAGGAATACCTGACCAAGGAGGGGAGGAGTTGGCAGGAGCTACAGCCAGCCCGCCTGTCTTCCTCTCCATCCACCTGGTGCCAGGTGGAGCACAGGGGTCATCATGTATACCCTGCTGGCTGGCTCCCCGCCCTTCTGGCACCGGAAGCAGATGCTGATGCTGAGGATGATCATGAGTGGCAACTACCAGTTTGGCTCACCTGAATGGGATGATTACTCAGATACTGTGAAAGACTTGGTGAGTGCCCCAGCCTGCTGGCTCTAGGGCTCAGGCAAGGGGCAAAGTTCACCATGGAGGGAGGGGAGTATGCCATGCCACAGGATGGAGGAGTCTGCCAGGAGAGACCCCATGTCTTCTAAAGTGCTGGAGGGGAATCTGCATTCATGTTTTCAGTACCTCCTTGTTCTCTCAGGTCTCCCGCTTCTTGGTGGTGAACCCCCAGGGCCGCTGTTCAGCAGAAGAGGCCTTAGCGCATCCCTTCTTCCAGCAGTATGTTGTGGAAGAAGTGCGTCACTTCAGCCCCCGGGGGAAGTTCAAGGTACTTAAGCTCCCTTCTCACCCAAGGCCCTGGGGCAGTTGCTACTGCCTCAAGTCCAAGCCCCCAAGTCCCCTTTTTTCTCCTGAGGAACTGCTACTTACACCACCAGGGTTTCCAAGGCCCCTGCCCTCCCCTCCCCCCACCCATAATGGTTCCAGCTCAATTTCTTCTGGCTTCAGGGAAGACAGATGTCACCTGACTGGCTCCAACAGTCTAAATCCCTGCAAATGCTGGTAGGGTGAGAATGGAAAGAACACTAGGAAGGGCCCAGCAGAAGCCATGCAAGTCTTCATGGCAAACAAGCTCAGGGCCTCCCTGCATTGGAGGGAAAAGGAGATAGGTTTGCAGGGGCTGGGTCCAGGTTCTCAGTCCTGGCCCTCCACAGGTGATCGCTCTGACAGTGCTGGCTTCAGTGAGGATCTACTACCAGTACCACCGGGTGAAGCCTGTGACCCGGGAGATTGTCATTCGTGATCCCTATGCCCTCCGGTCTCTGCGCCGACTCATTGATGCCTATGCTTTCCGCATCTATGGCCACTGGGTGAAGAAGGGGCAGCAGCAGAACCGGGCTGCCCTCTTTGAGAACACACCCAAGGCTGTGCTCCTCTCCCTAGTTGAGGAAGACTACTGAGGTGCTGGCAAGTGGAACAGGGCGAGTAGGTGGCAGAAGAAAGGGGAAGCCGCAGAAATATTAGTCAAAGGAGTGAGATTGTGTGCTGGCCTTTGTCCAGAGGGGCACTTGGTCCTAGCCAGGACTCCCGGAATTGGGCCATTATCCCTCTCAGAGGTACTGCATAAGAAGATTGGGGCACTCCCATAACACAATGGTAAGTGCAATAGCGGCTAGGCCCAGAGAATAGGGGACTAGATGTGATTCGACAGCCAAGAGGCTTCCTACTTCTCCACTTCCCAGTCGTACCACTATCTCAGTTTCTTTCTCCTCATGGGAGGCCTAGAGTTACTGACACTAGTATGTACTTCCCTTAGGGTCCCAGGGTAAGGACAAAAGACAGACACACAAAGACAGATACACAATCACAGAAGATTTTACTGACCTCATGGCATCTAGTGACACCACAGGAGCAAGTTCTTCTCAGGGGTACATGTTTTTAGAGGCATATGGAAGCCCTTACATAATCAACAATAGAAAGGAAAGCTTCTGATATTTGTCTTTCTAGAATATTATTTACTTTGTGACTCCCATGATGCAGTTTTCCCTGGTAAATACTCAGTTCTCCTAGACCCTTTTAATACTGACAAGTGCTTTAAAGAGCCCACATTGCTGCATTTTACATAGAGGTTATTGAAATTAAATTCCTTCAGAAGCGCATGAAACACTACAAATGAGGCAAATGAAGGAAGCATTTTCTTTCTGTAGCAATTTGCTGAGACAACAAAGAGAACTGGGGGAAAATTATGCCTTGAGAACACAATGTCAGATCCCTGAATCAGACATCGAGAAAGGGGGAGGGAACAGATTTAAAATTTTTTAACAAACTGCCTTTCAGAGCACTCTTGAGTATTTGGCCCCTATATGATTAATATTTGGCCTCTAATAGGCCAGCTCCCAGCCATAATCAATAAGTTGGGCCCTTTCTCTAAGAGATAGAGCCACCCCTTCTCTGAAGTCAGAGGTCTCACCTACCTTGGTGAGAGGTGCCTGTCACAGAGGGATGGGGAAGAGGAAGGTCATTCCTGAGGCTGAAGGTGAAGAGTTTGGAGTTTGGCTGTGTTTGGAATGTCACCAGGGAGTGACATGGGTACCACAGAGGACTCTTCTCCTTGGCTTTACATAGCTGCTCACAGCTCCCCAGGCAGTTGGCCAAAACTAGAAGCACAGCGGAAGCCTAGGTTGTCGGAGGCTGAATCTGGAGTGTTGCCCATCCTGCCACCAGAGAAAGAGAGAGAGAATGGACATTTGTTAAGAATGGGGCCTAGGGCCTTACCCAACTTTCCTCCTCTACTTGGGAGGCCAAGACCCAGACCCTCAGCCCCCAGTTACCAAGCCCATCACCTGGTAGTGACCCAGGCCTGGTGATTGGCGGAGCCATCAGATGTATTGATCCAGGACCCTCCCTGGAGGACATGCATGTCCTGATCGGCATTTTGGTATGGTGAAGCTGTCCACTCCCACACATCGCCCATGAGGTCATAGAGCCCTGCAGCACAGCAAGTGGGTCAGTCCCAGGCTGGGAAGCACCACACTCACCCCTCCTAGCGATCAAAGCCCTGGGGAGCAAGTGCTTCTCTGGGGGTGCTTCTCTCTGCCTCATCTGTCAGGCAGAATAATCCCACTAACCAATTTGTGAATGTTGACAGCAGTTGGATGAGAAATCTTACCATAGTTATTCTGTGGGGGGAAATCATTCACTGGGGAGACTCCATGGAAGCCATCCTCAGCCTTGTCGCCCTTGGGGAACTTTCCCTGAGAGGAAGAAATTTAGACTAAAAGATTTACCATCCTGTCTAAGGCAGGTGTTCCTGCTTGCCCAGAAGAAAACCAAGGTCATCTAGTTGTATCATCTGGGATAGGATGAAGAGCATGGGGAAGTGACCTGAGGTTCCCATCCTGAGCTCTCAAACCAGTGGCCTCATATCCTCCACCTTGACCTCCTGGCTGCATTAGGAAGTGTGTGCCAGCAGTAGTCCATGTCAAGCTCATCCCACTCTCATTTTCTCTACTCTCAGTGACTTCCTCCCCTATGCCTCGAACCCCACATGCTAGGTCCCTTGGAAAGAAAGACTCTTTCTTCCTTTTTCCATGCTTTGCACTCCCTACCTTCTCATAAGCTATGATGCTTGTCCTGTGCTCTCTTGTACCATCTCTTTCTCTTCTACCACCAACAGGTTTAACTCTCCCTCATCTGCCCTGACTCTACCTTCCTCATCTCTTGTTCTTTACCACCAAAATTCTTGAAAAAGTAACCTATATTTGCTGATGCAATTTGTTCAACTTGTTCATTCTTCTCATTAAAATTGGGTTCAGCTGCCACCACTCTATGGCAGCTGTTCTTATGAAAGGGAAGTTGAAGGGGTTATAATTTACTCAACACCTACTATATTCTAGGGTTGCTACATTTATCTCTTTTAATCCTTACAAGGTTGTGAGGCAAGTATTTTTTCCCTTTAAAAAACTAGCAGCTGAGGCTCAAATGGTTAATTTGGCAAAGATCAAACAGTGTATAAGCCAGATATCTCTTTCTGCAAAACTCTGATACCATGACCATCTAAAAGGTCAGTCTCTCTCTCAGTCCCTTTTCAGTGCTTCCCCCTAAAATGCTGGTGCTGTGTTCCCCTCACTCTACAGAGTCTCCTGCGGGGAATATACCATTCTTGCCTATGGTATATATTGATGACTCGCACACCACTTGCTCTGACCCAGACCTCTGTCCTAAATTTCAGACTTATATTTTCTACCTCTGACTGAATATATAAATGACCACAGGCATCTTAAGCTAAGCTGATCCTACACTGATCAAGTTCTATCCCTTTGACTCAACAAGCATATTATCTATTCTAGATAACGATAGCACTATCACCCTGCTGTCCAAGCTTAGATTCATGCTTGAGTCTAACTCTTTTCTAACCATCCACATTTGATTAGTGACCAAACCCAGTCTACCTTCTCAGACATGCTTCTCCCATTTGGCTTACTCTCTATTCCAGTTTCACTTTATTCAAGTGTTTATAATCACTTGGGCCATTACCACAGACTCAAATCCAGAAACCCCCTGTCACCACTGCAGCTCTATTTCATCTGATCCTGCACAAATTAGCAACAATTAGCATCCCCAAAGTCGAAATTATGTAGTTACTCCCCTGTTTAAAAACCTCCATCTGCTCCCCACTGCCTAGAGGATAAAATCTGAAACTGTATCTTGGCACACCTGATCCTTCAAAATCTGCCTCCAACCCACTGTCTACTTCATCTCCTAACATCCTCACTCATTTCTCTATGCTCCAGCCTCTCTGAATTTGTCATGTCTCCAAACACACAGTATTCTCTCCTAATACAATGACAATACTCATGTTGTTTCTTTTCTGCTCAGAATACCCTTTGCTCCACTTTTCACTTGACAAACTCCTATTCTATCAGCTGAATGCCATCTTCTCTGTGAAGTCACTCCCAGCACTCTCAGGCAATGAGTGATTTATTTCTGAGCACACCCTGCACTATCACATTGTCTTTTGCTTTACCCTTTACCAGTCTTCAGTTCCATTAGAACACAAAGCCCTCTGAATTCCACCGCCTAACATAATGCCTAGCCTATAGCAGGTCTTAATGCTTTGAGAAAGGACAGGAGTGAAGAATGTATGTCTTACCTGCCACAGGTTGGTGCGATGTAGCTGGAACTGGTTTCCCCATGGGTAAATCTGACCTGCTAGGAGAGCAAGGAGACAGCAGGGGAGGGAGAGATAAGAGTTGGGAAAGAAGGGAAAGACAGAAAGAAGGAATCAAAAGGAAGTTAGGAGGTGACGAGAAAAGGATTATTTACTTTTATTTCCCATGCTCATCCCGTCCACTCACTGCAGCCCAGCCTCCTGTATTACCCCAGGACAGTGCAGTCCTAGGTGTGGTTCTAATCAATGCCAGTGTATAAACTATTTGTTACCAGTTCATGTTGAGATCAGCACAAAAAAGAGAGTAACCACTGAGAAACTTGTTAACTGGACTCAGATTGGCTAAATGAACAAGCAACTTCATTTATCACATTAATCAGTTTGACTATTGGTATGGCTGTTGTTCTTTCGAAGCGTGTGTAGAGGTGCTGAATATGGAGCACTGCTACTTCACTCTCGCGACTTTTTGTTTTGTTAGTATTGCAGAACAACAAAGTTACAAGCAAACGGTGATTCTTTATATTAATCCCTATACACCCATGGAAAAGGTATGAGTTTGGATAACTCTTTTCTTTTTCCCTACGCCATGTTGTTCTGATTATATTTACTGAAATGAACATGTCTGTGGAATCTCCAACAATAAAATATTTTATGTCTGTTTTTTCATTACATTTTTCTAGTTAGTTTTTATGGTACTTTACATAAGTATTGGTCCGAGACATGTTAGAAATGAAAATAGCAGCAACTGGTCCCGCATCACATGCTTTAAGAAGTACTCTTCCCACCCTTTAAAGCTTCCCACGCAGGGCAGGATGGGGAGAAAAATAAAAAGAAATCGCCTTGGCACACCTGTACCCTTCAAGCCCACTCAGGCAGCAAACTCTCACTCTTCTTCACTGGGCAGCCATTTCCCCTTCCAAGAACAGTAGGCACGAGCATCATTCCAGCTCACATGTACCACTGGGAGCTCCAGTCTCTCTCGGATGCCAGAGCCGGGACCTGCAGGCTGTAGCCAGGATGAAGTGAGACAGGCTTCTGAGAACTCATGAAAGTCTGAGGTAGGCTAGGCTTAGGGTACCTGAGTTCAGCTTTTAACACTAGATGAAGCAAGGAAGTTGGAAGAGATAGCCTGGTGAGTGAAGAGAGGTCCAGAGTCAGAAAGAAGAGACTAAACATGAGACTGAAAAGAGAAATGGGATGGGCAGTGGAAATATTAGGACAGAAGAAACAGGGTTGATTGGTTGTTTCTTTGAAATTTCTCTGTCATCCTTTTAAACTCAGTATTCCTAGATGGGCAAGGGGTCTAGGGAAGCCAGCCCTCCAGCGGGTAGAGGAACCAATCCTTACCTGCCTCCAGAATGCCCTTTCCACTGGAAGCCACCAGAGAACAGACTGCAAAGAAGAAAGAGCATGACTAAAAGAAGGAGCACGACTGCAAGATGCTCTAACCTAGCAAGGGCACCTTCCTGACACACAGGAGGCAGAGTACAGACTTCAAGCGGAGACTCAGGTGGTCCAAGTAAGGCTGTGTCTGGAATCTTTAAAAGCATGATATTTCACAACCCTTATTAGAGGGAGGCTTGTCAAAATGTTCTGCTGCTGGTTCAGGAGGTATCATAAACTCTATATGTATCTGGGTCTTTACAGAGTGTCTCTATGCAGAAACCAGCTCAGGGGTAACTTCCTGTGAGTGTGTGTTCATCTTACTCTTCCAGGGAGGGTTTCTCTCATTTCTTCCTTCCCTCCAGCTCTCAGCTTTGATTCTCTGCTGTAGCTCAGGTGACCCCATACCCCTACAGGATTCAATGTCCAGGTCCCACTCCCATTCCCTCAACAGCAAGCCCTAGGTTCTCTCACCTTCATCTGCTGAGTTGCTTTGTTTCTAAGCTCATCGGAGACAAAGTCCTCAAAGACAAAACTTCATCCAAACATCTCAGCCTCTGTCTGGTACTTTTTCTCCCTGACAAACTCCCCGAAAAGAGATATTTCACTTGGTTCAGCTGAAAGGGCTCTGTGCTCCATCCTCACCCTCTCCTGCTCCAGAAAAGCTCCTATGTCCTTATCCTATAAGTCATATGTCACTGAGTTCTTGTGAACTCCAAAGAATTAACCTGAAACCCTGAGCAGGAGAGTTTCTTTTAAAATCTGTTACTGCATATATAATTCACTGCAGTAAAATTCACTTTTTAATGTATACTTTTGTGAGTTTTGACAAAGCATATAGTCATTATAACAATCAAGAAACAGAGCAGTTCCATCAAACACCCTCCAAAATTCCCCCATGCCCCTGTAACCTCCAATCTGTTTTTTGTCACTATAGTTTTGCCTTTCCTAGAATATAAATTCACATAAATTGAATCACACAGTATGTAGTTTTGGGTCTGGCTTCTTTCACTTAGCACAATGCTTCTGAAATTCATTCATATTGTTGAAGTTATCAGTAGTTTGTTCCTTTTTATTGCTGAGCAGTATTTCATCATATGGATATACCATATTTTGTTTATTCATTCACCAATTGCAGGTCATTTAGGTTATCTCCAGTTTTTAGAGATTATGAATAAGCTACTGAGAAGATTTAAGGGTGGGGAATGGTTCTCTTTTCTGAAAGGTCTTTTTTACATATCTAATCTCACAACATCATAGAAGGAAGTCAGAATATGTTATTAACAGATGAAAGAAACTGAATCAAATAAAAATGAGTTGCTGAGATTTTAGAATGGATTTTCATATAATTTGGTATGGCTTAGCAAATTTCAGCAAGCAGATTGCTGGGGTAAGATGAATTGTTTTCATTGGGCTAACAGTACCCCATCTGATATAAGATGATATCATTCACCCATCAAAAGGACATTGAGAATAGAAGAGTTGATCAGAGTTGGTAGCAATAGCTATTTACTGGCCTCAGAGCATCTGAACAGTTTGAGAACCTTTTACCAGAGAGGCAGAGACAAATTGTGGGTTCTAAGCAAAGTTTAGGGGCTTGCTGGAGGTACATTATATTTCTGTCATATAATAAGTCAACTTCGAAATATAAAAGAAAGCATACTATGCATCTATCTACCTACCTATTTCAATTTGTCATGGTATGGAACATGTCTGCTCACAAGTGATTTTTTTCAATTTTAATAACTTTCCTGTTTAAAAATACTTTCAAAAAGCATATATAAGCAGTACACATTGTACTGTAGAAAAATGAGAAAATATGGGTAGATAAAAAGAAAAAATATTAAAATCACCCATTACTGGCCACCGCGACTGCCACCCAGACCAAGATGTCCAGGACTATAATTCTGCATTCCCTCAGCCCCTACACCAAGTACGTCACCATGGTCAAGCCTACTACTACCCACTGCTGGCCTGAGATGATGGAAACATGCCCAATGTGCCCAGCTACCCCCAGGACCCTCAAAGCCCAAGCTTGGAGTGGCTGAAGAAACTGTGAGCAGCTCCATTGACAGGGAGGAGGCCCCCTCCTGTGTGGCCCCCAATAAAAATGTGGAAACTGAAAAAATAAAACAAAATCATTCATTATCACACCAAACTAATATCATTCCATATTCTCCCTGCCCTCAGTCCTGCCCTCTCTTTCCCACCCCTCCTCCCCCATTTAACAAGCTGCTTCCCTGGAATTATTTTCTTTTGGAAGTCACAAAAACATGGGCAAAATCTGTCAACTAATGCAATGTTGTACTTCCAGTTCTTTTTTTAATGCATATACATTCCATATACATAGTTTCAAAAAAATGAGATCATACCCTATATATTGTTTTGCAAGCTACTTTCTTCACTTAATATATCATAACTAATTCTTTTTGACAACAGGACTTTAAATGGCTGCTAAGTATTCTGTTATATTGATATGTTTAAGTGATTCTTAAAAACTGTTAATAGTTATTTACAATGTCATCTTTTTAGCCTAACGGTTTTAGACAACCTTAATTCTTTCCTTAAGACAAATCCCTAGAGGTAGAATCACTGAGTCAAAAGGCCTGAGGAGTATACCAACAATCCTACGCTTACTTCAGTATGTCTCCTGAATCAGTTTCTCCCCATAACTTTTTATCTTAAAAAGTTTTACGTCCACAAATATAACATTTAAGTCATTTCCCACGTTTGCTTTACTGCCTTCCTGTTTCCTCCCCTTCCTTTCCCCCTCTCTATATATTCCCTGCTGTACCATTTGAAGGTAAGTTATAAAATGTTGTCACCTTGAGGAAACTAAGGCAGCTCAACTTGGCTTCTTAGATTGAGCTGGAACCACAGTGTTTGACTCCTAAAACAATGTCATTTCCCTAAAACAATGCCATTTCCCTCAGTAAATATAAAGGCAATTTAAGGTACTCTCAGCTAGTATGATACTTCTCCCAATCCTTTCCCCCTTGTTGAAAGGTTTCCGTTGAGTGTTTCACTTTGCCCATCTTTTTAAGTGCTATGCCAGTGTAACAGAAAATCTACGGGCTCAAAAGGCAAGGAATTTGAGTTCCAGGCCCAGGTCTGCCAATAACAGAGAGCGAGGTAAACCTTTTTGGACTTCAGATTCTTCATCTGAAAAATGTAGATAGCACTTATCCCAGAGTACTATTGCAAAGATGATATGTGATTGTGAACAGGTGTTTCCTTTTAGATATTAAGAAAGGAGATTAGAAAGAGACTTTACTCTTCCTGGAAAAACACATGATGTACCTGAATCTTTGTTGGTGACAGGAAATAGGTTGATGGCAAAGAGTTTTACTGTCACCTCCCGGACAGGCCCTTCATCTCTGCCATCTAGTGAATTTGTTCCCATCTGGAATCTCCCACCTGGTAGCTGAACCATGCTAGTCACCTGCCCATTCCCTGCAGAGAAAAAAAGAATCATCAGTAATACATGAATATATATGAAACAAATGGCAACTTTTGGATCATATGTAACACTCATAAAAATGAGTATTCATCCCCAAAAAATGAAGGATTAAAAATTTGGCTTTAAATTCTTGTTCTGCCACTTAATTTGGTTGACCTTAGGTGATTTACTTAATCTGAGTTTCAATTTCTTCATCTATAAAGTGGGAACAGCATCTATCTCATAGGCAAAGCTGTATGAATTAAATGACGTATGAGATGTTGAACACATGGTAGGTTTTCAACAAATGTTTATTTCTTTTCCTTCTCTATTCTTCTACACAACCACCTTTGTCCCAGGTAGGTAAACCTAAACACTATACTTTGAAATATACCTAGTACCTTTTTACCCATTTTGTGCTCATGGTGTTTCTCTGCCTCTTCCTATTTGTTGAACTCTTAGCAATTCTTAATGATTTTCACCATTATATCATATGCTCCAGAAAGGAAAGGACTACATCTATTTTGCCACTGTATGCCTGGCATCTATCACAAGTACACAATAATTATCAAATAATTGAATGAGCTCCTTCATACTTGCTGTCTGAATGCCTCAAAAAAATGATAGAATTAAAAGGATCTTTAACTCAACTCCCTTATTTAACTGGAGGAAACCAAGAGCCAAAAAGGAAAATGACTTAAAGAGCTAGTTATCAGGAGACAGGACTAGATCCAGCTCTCTTTACTTCCAGGTGCTATTTCCAACAGGCAACATTTCTCTGGCTTGATGTACTACTTTATGGTGCTATGTTTCTATGTAAGGTTGTCTAAAAAGCGTTAAGTTCCTCTGTTAAGTCCATGTCTTTTCATGTTCCTTAGAATCCTATCTTTGGCCCTCCTCTCATACTCATTCTGATACACACACCGATTATTTTATTCACTTCAAGGGGAAAAAAATGGAGCAAGCAGGGAAATCTCAGAATAAAAGGGAATTAAGAAACAACATACAACTGCAATGTATAAAGTTTATTTTGACACGAATTCAACAAGTAAACTATAATTGAAAAAATAACATAGTAATAGTAGGTGTATTTAAACACTAACTGGATGTCAATTTTATGTGTGGAAAAGGGTATGGTATTTTTTCTTTTTGTGTATATTTTTGGCTATTCAAGCTGAGTATTTACAAATAAATTTGTATGCCTGGATTCAGGTCAATATGGCTCCAGCCTGGGGAGAGGAAATATACCAAAGCAAGATTAGCCATAAACAGCAAACTGTTTATGCTGAGGGACGATACATGAGGCTTGTTATACTTTTACTTTTTAATGTCCAAGATTCCAAAATAATAAAATAACGAAATAGGATAATTGTTAATTACCTTGCCGGGTTGGCCACCTTTGGGAGGTGCCAGCAGCCTGACCAGGAAGCGGACAAACAAGCCACCGGTCTCTTCTACCAAGGTGAAGCACCCCACCCCTTTCCTGATGCCTCCTGAGACAAATGGTGCCAGGGGAAGGCAGGCAGGCCAGCACACTGACCTAGCTTTATCCACTGGCAGGACAGGAATGACAGTAGTCAGCAGCTGCAGAGTCCATGCGGGAAACGCGAGTCACGGCAGCACCAATAGGATACTCATTGTATGGCTTTGCTGTGTATGCGCTCTACACCTCCCAAGTTGGCCTCCACCCTCTTACACATCCTCTACTGTCAGCTGAAGCGGGTGATTAGTCCACAGGCCCGGGAATAAGATAGGGCCTGAATTAAAGGAGGTGGGGTCCAGAAATTAAGGAAAAAGCAATATTCTTAGGGTTAGTATTAGAAGGCCCTGCCATTCCAGAACCCCCTCATTATCTTGTGAACATTTGGCCTTTCTTCTTTTATATTTGGACTCCTTTTGTGCTTTGGAATACCACTGCGAAGATCACAGAAAAGGTTTCAAATTAACATTTATTGTACATTCCCTGCAGGCAACTGCCAAGTCCTCAAAATACAAAATTTTGCAACACAATTTCACCTTTGAGGACTGCAGAGAAATACCAACTGTATAAAAACAATTTTGTGGAAACACATAGGAGAGAATAATTTGAGTTAGAAAGATGTCACTGACAGTTTTAGGATGGATATATTTCAGCAAAATCAAAGGTTCAGAGGTGTGAAAATTGGTCCATCCGAAAATCTCATCTCACATAGCCCTTAGTCACACCTTCAGCCATCTTTTTACCACTGCCTCTTCTATTTCTATTTTTGCCACTTTATACTTGCAGCTCTTTCAACAACCTTAACTCTAGTTCATCCACCTTTCTACCCACTACTAAACTATCCCAGGGAGCATTTTAGCAAAGCTACTTCAAAAACATGAAAAGTCCAACAGAAAGATCCAATAGTTTTACTCACAGGAATTTATACTACGAAAACAGGGATGGTTTTAAAACCTTAAGTTACTTAAATGCTACTTATATTAGCATAA